TGCCTACCACCCTCTCTCCCACTTCCCTCTCCTCCCCTTCACTTCCTCCTTCCTTCATTCATCTTTTTCTCCTCACATATATTTTTATGGCTTTCATAGAGGAAGGAAGAGGGAGAGAGAGAGAGGAAGAAAACCATTGATTTTCTGTTCCCCTTGGTTAGGCGTTCAGGGGTTGATTCTTGTATTATGTCCTCACCAAGATTCAAACCCACAACTGTGGTGTGTATTGAGCTACCCAGGCAGGGCTGCTTTGCCTTCTTGAACAAATCTTTACTATTATTTTTAAATTTGGGGCTGACATTTTATTGAAATACGAGAAGCCCGGTGCACAAAATCTGTGCCCTTGGGGGAGGACACTCGGGCCAGCCTGCACCCTCGCGCAGTCCAAGAGTCCTCGGGGTGTCCGTCAGTCGGACATCCTGTTCTCTGCTGCAGAGGCGGGAGAGGCTCCCACCGATGCCACTGCCCTCGCCAGCTGTGAGCCGGGCACTGGCTGAGCAGTGCCCCCTGTGGGAGCACTCTGACCACCAGGGGGCAGCTCCTGAATCGAGGGTCTGCACCCAGGTGGTCTGGACATGTCACAGCAACCGGTCATTCTACCGTTTGGATTTGCTTGTTAGCCTTTTATTCTATACGATATACAGAAAACTGCATAGATTATAAACTTATGCCTCCGTGAATTTTCAGGGACTGAAATGACTTCTTATTTGTTTAACTTCTTTTTATTGAGGTAACATTTCCATATGTACATCTAAGCACTCGATTTGATGAAAACTGATACACCTCTCAGGAAGCTGAACAAATCTTATAGCTTATTCAACTCCATCTCCCTTATTAAACGTTCTTTTTGGCCCTGGCCGGTTTGGCTCAGTGGATAGAGTGTTGGCCTGAGGACTGAAAGGTCCCAGGTTTGATTCTAGTCAGGGGCACATGCCCTGGTTCCAGGCTCAATCCCTGGTAGAGGGCATGCAGGAGTCAGTGGTTCAGTGGTTATTCTCATCATTGATGTTTCTATTTCTCTTTCCCTCTTCCTACCTGTCTGAAAACAATATATATATATATATATATATATATATATATATATGTATATATATATATATAGATAGATAGATATATATATATATATACTTTTTTTTTTTTTAAGTTCTTCTTGGCAACATCAAAATATCCCAAGATTTTACATTTTATCCATCTAGTTGCCCTGTTCCACCCATGAAGAATGTCCTAACAGGTCTGTTTTCCCTCCACAGATACACAAACTAAAGGGCTTCTTCTCCCTTAACGATTCTTGTAAACAAAAGCTCACTGAGAATGGTGGTAGTTGATCTCATTGTTTTCACTTCTCCTGGAGATAGCTCACAAGTGGAGGGAAAAACAGTGGCGAAATGATTATCTCAGAACATTACTACTCTTCTGATGAATTTCTAACCTAATTATCATTTTCATGGTGCTTGTATCAGCTACTTAAACCTGTATCACAAACTACTCTTAAACTCAGCAGCTTACAACAACAAGCATCCATAATAATAAAAGTGTAATATGCTAATTAGACCGGACAGCCGAACAACCTTCCAAAGGAAGCCAAGGCTGCGAGGGCTGAGGCAAGCCGCCACAGCTGTGAGGGCTGAGCCCCTTGCACAAAATTTTGTGCATCAGGCCTCTAGTTTATACTCCTGTGAGTCAAGAATCTGGAGGAAGCATAATTGTATGAAATGGGTCAGGATCTCATAAAGTTTCTGTCAAGGAATCCAGGAGAGCTTCAGGCTTTTGAAGGCTTATGGGACTGAAGTATTGAGTTCCCAGATGGACTCATTTACATGGTTGTTGACAGAAGGTCTCAGTTCCTTGCCATGGGCCTCTCCCTTGAGCTCCTGAGCGACCTCAAAACATGGCAGCTGGTTTCCCCCAGCTGCTTACACCTGAGAGAGTGGAAGGCAGAAACCACAGTGTCTTCTATGACTTAACCTTGGAAGTGATGGCCTTTCACTTCTGCCATATTCTATTGCCTTCACAGACCAATCCCGATGCATTGTGGGAAGGGATTTGATAGGATATGGATGTCAGGAGGCGGGATCATTGGGAGCCATCGGTATGCTGGCTACCAGGGCACCTTCTCATATGTACAAATACATATGTACAAAGCATGGAAGATAATATTAGCCATTTACATTTATCATAAAATTCAGCCAAATTAAGTGGCAACAATTATCATAGGATTTTTACTCCCATGAGATGTAACAGTTATGGGGATGAATTTTCTAGCTGCTTCCAGTTATAATGTTCCCCAATTGAATATTATATATTTCCCCTTTTGCTGAGAAAATCCCTGACCTATAGCCACGTATTTCTCATTTTGACCTCATATGTAAGTCTTGTTCCAAACAATTCTCCTTAACACTTAGCAGTTAGATGCCTATTCATCACATTGTTGTTTTCATACAATTGGCATGAAAAAGCCAATGACAATCTCCAGCTGATTCAATATGGTCTCTCAAAGTAGTTGAACTGAGAAATATTTTAATCTTTGAGCAGACATTTGTTTGTCTTCATTTTCATTTCTGAATTCTCTATCCTTCCAGGACACTGGAATCAAAATGAGATAGAAACTCTTCAAGAAGTTGGATTAAGGTATCTTTTCCATGAAGACCTTGTGTGCTGGCAAATATGGGAACAGCTTATAAGTAAATTAACCAGAAATCAAGACATGATAAAAAATCTGCAAGGCAAGATGTCTGATTTGCCCAAAGAAGGTGATTCCTCCTTTCATTTGTGGGCTGGAGAATCTACTCACGTTTCTGAAGATGAGAACTGTGCCATAAAGTTTCCAGGGAAAGTTAAAAGTTCTAATAGTATCAAAAGTCAAGAGTTTCCAATTAAGACCAACAGGAATTTCTGGAAGAAAATGTACCTCAGAGAGTCACAGAATTATCAGAAGAGGTGTCAGCAGATTGACGGAAGATGTAAACTGTACAAGTGTGATCGTTGTGATATGAGAAGGACCTCTCGTGACCACGATGATGATCAGGAAGGACAGAAAGGTGTGAAGTCTTGTAGCCACAAGAACTGTGGAAAAGACTTCATGAAGAAATCGTTCCATCATAGTGTGATCAGCTCAGGAAAGCAAACCTCTGATGAGAATAGAAAAGGCCGTGGATCCAGTCTTGAAGTTCGCCAGGAGTTGCACCTAGGAGCAGAACCCCATATTTGTAGTGAGTGTGGGGAGGGTGTCAGTTATAGTTCAGTGCTTTGCACTCGTCAGAGTGTTCCCATAGAAGAGAAATGCAATAGGAATGATGAGGGTGGTGAGGGCTTTGGTGAAAACGCACACTTGCAAATTCATCAGAGAGTCAACACGGGAGAGAAACCCTACAAATGTGGCGTTTGTGGGAAGGGCTTAAGTCGGAGTGCGTATCTGCAAGCCCATGAGCGAGTCCACACAAGAGACACACCCTACACATGTGCCGTGTGTGGTAAGTGCTTCAGTCGGAGTTCACAGCTTCAAGTCCATCAGCGAGTCCACACTGGAGAGAAACCCTACAGTTGTGATGTGTGCGGGAAGGGCTTCAGTCATACCTCCACCCTTCAATCTCATCAACGAATCCACACCGGAGAAAAACCCTACAAATGTGCTGTGTGTGGGAAGGGCTTCAGTCAGAGTTCGCTTCTTCAAGACCATCAGCGAGTCCACACGGGAGACGCCCTGTACAGATGTGCTGTGTGTGGGAAGGGCTTCAGTCGGAGTGCACATCTTCACGACCATCAGCGAGTCCACACGGGAGAGAAACCCTACAAATGTTCCGTGTGTGATAAGAGCTTCAGTCGGAGTTCAAATCTTCAAGTTCACCAGCGCGTCCACACGGGAGAGAAACCCTACCGATGCGATGTGTGCGGGGATAGCTTCAGTTGGAACTCCCAGCTTCAGTACCATCGGCGTGTGCACACTGGCGAGAAAACCTTCAAATGCGACGAGTGTGGGAAAGGCTTCATGTGGAGCTCGTGTCTTCATGCTCACCAGAGGACCCACACAGGAGAGAAACCCTTCGACTGTGCCGAGTGTGGGAAGAGCTTCAGTCGAATCTCAAGTCTCCAGGCTCATCAGCGCGTCCACACCAGGGAGAAACCCTACAAGTGCGCCGTGTGTGGGAAGAGCTTCAGTTGGGGTTCGCATCTCCAAGACCACGAGCGAGTCCACACGGGAGAGAAACCCTACAAATGCGCCGTGTGTGGGAAGAGCTTCCGACGGAGTTCACATCTCCAAGACCACGAGCGAGTCCACACTGGAGAGAAGCCCTACAAGTGTTCCGTGTGTGAGAAGAGCTTCAGTCGGAGTTCACATCTCCAAGCCCATCAGCGGATCCATCGAAGAGACACGCCCTACACATGAGCTGCGTGGGAAGAGCGTCAGCTGCCATGAGCGAGTCCACACTGCCAGGAAGGCCTACTGACGTGAAGCGTGTGGGAAAGGCTTTATGGAGAACTCGTGTCCTCGTGGTCATCGGAGGATCCGCACGAGAGCAAAACCCTGCAAATGTGTGTGGGAGATCTTCAGTCGGATCTCAAGTTTTTAAGTTCGTCAGCAAGTTCACGCTGGGAAGAAGCCATGGGGATGGGAGGCACGTGGTCCGGGCTTCCGCTGCACTTCACGTCTTCAGGAACATCAAGTGCACCATGGGGAAAAAAAAAAAACCCTGCAAATGCGCTGTGTGAGGGACAGGCTCCAGGCAGACCTCGAGTCTTCAGGTTCATCATAGTATATATTATAGAATGGAGATACGTCCACTACGAGTGATGAGGGTGATAAAAGTGTTCTTCAGAACTTAGACTTGGAGCAGATAATCTACACTGCAGAGAAAGTTGTGTTTTAAGGATTCAGGCATGAGTTGGGTTTTGGTGGTGTGTGTGTGTGTGTGTGTGTGTGTTCAGTCATCTGTATCCCATTGGAAGAATCCTCTTTTTTACATAAATGGTCAGTATTCTAGCAAAGCTTAAAATGCCAGTTCTTAAGAGAATGCCCCCCAGAGAAACCCTGTAAGTGTAGTACTGTGTGTTTGTCAGAACCTCTACTTTCCCTAAAATCTACCCAGGAAAGAGGTCTTAAAAATAAAGATTGGGACCTTAGCAATGATCACACGATGGAAATCCACGTCCGTGAGAATGTAAGTTCCGTGGGGTCAGGAAGTTTACTCACTGCTGAATGACTGTGACCTCAAACCACTGCCGAACAAATCGGAGGTGCCTGGGAATGCCTAACTTGATGGGGAAGAATACCTGTTATAAATAGAATAACTACTTGAAAATTTTAATGACTTCAACCCCAATTAGCCATAATTGTGCTAGGAAAGGGTTTTTGTAAGAAACCGTAGATATTCAAGCAAATGGTCACTTACTAGAAATACACAAAATCATGCAATGTGCAGTTCGAATGTAAGATTTTTGTAGTTGGCTCCTGACGTCTGCTCAGCTTTACTTTTGAAGCAGTGATGGACTGAAGTGTGTATCTTATCATTTAAGACATTCTCGGTGCCATGTATCATTAGGAATTAACAGCATAAATTTCTCTTATTTGGTGACAGGAGCAGACAGCATGAAAACAGGAAAACTTGATTTTCATTCCCTACAGCTTCATTAGAAAGAGGTATAGATGGGGGACCTATCAGAACAGGACTTTGGATGTGAAACTAGGCTTTCAACGCGCACTGCACTCTTGGTACCGCCCAGTACTTCTCAGGTGCCTCCGTGGAGTTTGTGTTTGCTTGCTTAAATGGTTTACTCAAGCAGATGTATGTTTACTAGAGGTAGGGGACAGTCTCCCACAATTATTTTTTCTTGGACCTTAACTTCCAGGCACTGGATACTTACGATCCATGATATATCAAGTTTTATGTTGGCCCCATCAGAAATCCGGGGCCAGTGATGCTCAGCTTTGTCATTGGGGACAGTGGGGTGGCCTGCTAGAGCTCTGGGTAGTTTATATCAGGATAGTTTCAATTGTAAGAAATAGAAAGCCAAGAGGAACAAGCAGAAACCAAAGGAGGATTTGTCGGTGTGCCTAAAACAGGACAGGTGGGTGAGGGCGGAGGCCTGGGCTGAAAATGAATCTGGGTCAATTCTTCTGTGGTCCTCTCACCTCTTCCCTTCCGGTTGAGTTGATTTCCACATTTTCTCACTCCAGCCCACTAGTAGGAAATTTATTTAAAGAACCAATGTCCTGTTAACCTTAGGACAATCCCATTTCCAAACACTTCAAAAGCAGTTGTTTCTGAACCTCCATTGTCCCTTTCAGACACGTTCAGACTTGATGTTTTTCCCCTAATCATATCATATGCAAACACAAGTATTTATAGAGTTACTGTGAGTTGCAATTTGCCATTTTAATGTATCAGTATTTTGGAGGTTCTTAAAATATTATTTTCAGAGTAAATTTGACTTTTAAAAATATTCTGAGTTTTAAACAAGTAAAATAATTTGAAGCACTAATACAAACAATTCCACTGGTACACATAAATAATATATTTTTTATTTTACTGATTTTTTTACAGAGAGGAAATTATTTTTAAAAATTAAAAAAAAAATTTTTATTTGAGAGTGAGGGAGATCAATTTGTTGCTCCACCTATCCATGCTCTTACTGGTTGACTCCTGTATATGCCTCGACCATGTACTAGATACAACCGTGGGTGGAGTATGGGGACAACACTCAAACCCATTGAGCCATCCAGCAGGGCTATTTTCTTTTAAATATTTTTCTAATTTCTCTTGAATCACCTTCTTTGATCCATGGGTCATTTATAAGTATTTTGTTTAATTTCCAATGTCTAGAGATGTTTCTGTTTCCTTTCTGCTATTGGTTTAATTCTTTTGTGCTCTGAAAATATGTTATATGATTTTAATTATTTTAAATTCATGGAGGTTTGTTCTTCTTGGTGACTGTTACATGTGTCCTTCAAAAGACTGTCTGTTCTGTTGTCATTTTCATTGTCACCAGGTGGAATATTCTACATAATTGTCAATTATATCGAGTTGGTTGATGGCATAGTTCAGCTTCTCTGTATCTTTGCTGACATTCTGCCTAATAATTCTGTATATTACTGAAAGAAGAATATTGAGGTCTCCATATATAATTGTGGATTTGTCTATTTCTCCTTTCATATTTACCAACTTTTTCTTTTAACTATTTTGAAATTCTCTTGTTAGGTGTTTACTCATTTAGAATTGTGTTCACTTAATGAATTGATCCTGTATCATTATAAAATTTATTATTGGTGATTTTCTTTACTCTGAACTTTACTAAAGTCTTAAGACACAAGACATTGCAAAAAAACAATGTACTCACAAGTACCCTTCACACCACTGTACATTTCTGGTCTTCAAACCAGGAATTGGCATTGACACAATGTTGCCAACTAAACTACAAATCTTTGTTTGTTTTCACCCATTTTTTAATTGAAATTTCTATTGAGATCAGTTAGGTTGACATACAGTTGTAAGACATAACAAAGTCATATATCTTGTACACTCTGCCCGCTTTCCCCAAATGGTAACATTTTGCATATTACAAGCAAGGCATCATTTATACAACCCACTGATCTCAATCATATTTCTTTAGTTTCACTTGTACTCAGTCGTGAATTAAGTGCTGTACAATTTTATTACCTGCGTAGGTTCATGTACCCACCACGACAGTCAAGGTACTGACAATTCTTGCCCATTTGTAACCACACCTTCCTTCCTGCCCCCCCTCACCCCACCCCTAACCCGTTATGACCATTGATCTGTTGTCCATTTCTATGATTTTGTCATTTCTGGAATGTTACATAAATAGAATCTTGCCACATTAAACCTTTTGAAATTGGCTACCCCCACCTCAAAATTCTCTGGATATTCATCCAAATTGTACGTAGTCTGCCCATTTTATTACTGAGTAGTATTTTATGGTGTGTACGTGTCACGGTTTGATTAGACCCTTACCTGTCGAAGGACGTCCGTGCTGGTTGTATTTCTGGCTGTTACAGATAAAGCTGCCGTGAGCATGTGTGTGTCGGTTTCCGTGCGGACATGGGCTTCCTTTTCTCTGGGTGCATGTCCAGAGGGGCAGATGCTGAGTCAGAGGCCAGATGGTAGCTGCATATTTTCATCAGTGTTTGCATGCTGTGTGCGTGTGCGTGTGCGTGTGCGCGCGCTTGTGTTGGTATGTGACTATGAAATTTTATCCCTTGTGTAGATTTGTATAGGTTTTGGTAACTGTGACTATAATCACAATTCAGAACTGGCCCACCTGTGTCCCTCCCTTTGAACTAGTCAGATCCTCCAACCCTACCCACTAAATATGTGCTCTCTTACTAGAATATTGCCTGTTAAAAATAGAGCTGTTATGGCTGAAGCCTGTTTGGCTCAGTGGGTAGAGCGTCGATCTGCGGACTGAAAGGTCCCAGGTTCGATTCTAGTCAAGGGCATGTACATTGGTTGCGGGCACATCCCCAGTAGGGGGTGTGCAAGAGGCAGCTGGTTGATGTTTCTCTCTCATCGACGTTTCTAGCTCTCTCTCCCCCTTCCTCTCTGCAAAAAAATCAATTATATATATATATATATATATATATATATATATATATATATATTTTTTTTTTTTTTTTTTTTTTTTTTTAAATAGAGCTGCTATGAACATTTGTAGGTTTTTGTGTGGATACATTTTCATTTCTACAGGATGAATCCCCAGGCGCACGATGTCCAGATCATAAGGTAGTTGTATGTTTAGTTTTTTTAAAAGATTCCCAAACTCTTTTCTAGAGCGACTGTACAGTTGCATGCCTACCAGTAACTTGTAAGAGATGCAATTCTCCCTGTCCTCACTAGCACTTGATATTGCCAGCATTTTTCTTCTTTCTTTTTTTAAATATATTTTTATTGATTTCAGAGAAGAGAGAGTTAGAGATAGAAACATCAATGGCTGAGAGAGAATCACTGATTGGCTGCCTCCTGCATGCCCCACACTGGAGTCCGAGCCCACAACCAGAGCACGTGCCCCTGACCGGAATCGAACCTGGGACCCTTCAGTCTGCAGGCTGACGCTCCATCCATTGAACCAAACAGGCTGGGACGCATTTTTGTTTCTTAATCGTCACCCAAAGATATGTTTCTTTTGCTTTTTAGAGAGAGGACGGAGGAAAGAAAGAAACATCGATGTGAGAAAAACATCAATCCTTCCGTACATACCCTGACCAGGGATGGAGACCGCCATGTGGGCGTGTGCCAGCCACTTTTCAGTGTATCGGATGACACCCCATCCAACTGAGCCACCAGGCCAGGGCAATGTTGCCAGTATTCTTAAATTTACCTGTTCTGTTGGTTGGTTGGAGAGTGGTATCCTATAGCTTTAATTTTCATGTTTCTAACAACTACAGCTGCCCTTTAATGTTCGCATGGTGTCTGACAAAGGTGTCATGGCCGCTGTAATGAGTTCGTGCCTTCGGAAAGGCAAACGAAGCAGCCGATTCCACAGAATATGACGATTTACCATAGGGGAACTTACCTACAGGAAGACTGGGGTGGAGGGGAACAGAAGACCCAGCAATTTTGCACAGGTTATTTTTTGCTAACAGTATTTCTCTATACTATAGCTCAGGTGCTAATGATTGGTCTAGTGCTAGACGATGGTTTATAATCAATACCTTCACCAGTGTTGATAGTAGATGGGCCTGAGGCTGCCCGTCACTACTTGCGCCGAATGAAGCACAGTCAGGGTAGGATCACACCTGAGCACTGATTCCAGCGATGCCGCCTGTGTGGGGAGACAGGTCACGCTGGGAATTCTGTTCTGATTCACCTTGTCAGCTGGATGAGGGAGAAGAGGCTGTGTAACGGGAAAGGAGAGAGGGTCTGTGCCTCGCCTACCTGTGTCATAACGAAAGCTTCCCCTGTAAACAACATAGTTGTTTCACTTAAAAAATATAGATTCTGCCGAAACCGGTTTGGCTCAGTGGTAGAGCGTCAGTCTGCGGACTGAAAGGTCCCGGGTTCGATTCCGGTCAAG